AAAAAAAAAAAAGACGCAAAAAAAGGAGAGAGAGAAACAAGCAACACAATTTTGTGGTTGGAATTCCTTATATAGAGAAGAAATCTATGGCCAAATCCTTAAAGAAGAAGGAATCCTACTCCAATAAGGAGTTGGAAATTCTCTTTGAGTTCTATTCAAACAAGGAGATAGCAATTTTGTTTAATCCTTCCTAAGTTAGGAATCCTACCTGCATCAAGGAATAGTCAAGTTAATTCCTACTAGGAAGCGCTTGAACTGATCTGTTCGTTTTAATTTGTTTAGGTTTGGTTCTTGATTCGTTTTCTTGTTTGTTCCTTTGTGTCTTTCTATTTCCTTTAACTCTTGTAGATTTGTTGGAGTTAGATTGCTGCAAAATAACTTGAATTGAACTTGTTTAGTTCAATAACGAATTGAAAGAGGAAAGTTGAGTGAGGGAAAAAGGCAAGAGGTGTGAGCAACACTTGAGAGAAAAGCCAAGTTTTACAGTGTGCAAAACACGAGCGTTAAGTGCCATTCTGTGAGAGAGTGGAGTGAAACACGTAAGGGAGTGTTGTGAGGTCCTTTTATTCTTCTGTTTCTAACATTCGTTGCAGGTTTCAATCATGTCAAGCAGTGATGACAAATCAACCACTAGAAGACACCATGTGGATGAATCTCTCATGCTCACAGCAATACAACAACAATTTCAAAGGCTGGACATCATGTTTGGTGAGATCAGAAACAAAATGGAGAAGCAAGATGCAGCTATAGCCAATTTATACCAAATACAGAAGGGAAGTCCGAATTTGCGTAGGAATGATGCTAATGATGATCTCAATGAAGATTATGAAGATGCATTCAACAATGATGCCCAGAACTTAAATTTCAGCATGGACAAATTTATGAGAGGTAGAGGGGATCAAAAAGGTAGGTTTAAGCGAGGAGAGCAAAATCTGATGAAGTGGGGAGATCAACAAGATCGTGACTTAGGTAGCATCAAGATGAAGATTCCTCTGTTTCAAGGCAAAAATGATCTAGATGTGTATTTGGAGTGGGAAAAGAAGGTGGAATTGGTGTTTGATTGCCATAACTATTCTGAGGAGAAAAAGGTGAAACTAGCAACGGTGGAATTTACTGATTACGTTGTGGTGTGGTGGGATCAGCTTGTGCTTAGTCGGCGTAGAAATCAAGAGTGTTTTGTTGACACTTGGGAAGAGATGAAAGCTGTGATTAGAACATGATTTGTTCCTAGTTACAACTACCATGATCTCTATTAGTGATTACAAGGCCTTACTCAAGGGTCCAAAAGCGTTGAGAATTATCACAAAGAGATGGAAATCACAATGGTTAGAGCGAATGTGGAAGAGGACAGAGAAGCAACTATGGCACGGTTTCTGCATGGCTTAAATTGTGATATAGCTAATGTGGTAGAGCTGCAACATTATGTGGAATTAGAAGATATGGTGCATATGACGATGAAAATAGAACGACAACTCAAGCATAAAGGAGCCACTAGTAGAATTGGACAAAATTCAGGTTCCTCATCTTCTTGGAAATTGAATTGGAGCAAAAAGGAAGAAAATTTTGCTTTTAAGCCTAAAATTGCAACATCTAAGTCAAAAGAAGTTGGTAGCAATGAGAATAGTAAAACAGATAATACGTAAGGTAGAAACTGAGACATCAAGTGTTTTCGATGCTTGGGAAGGGGGCATGTTGCATTGCAATGTCCTAATAAGCACATGATGATCTTGAGAGAAGATGGAGAAATTGAAACCGAGGGTGAATTTGATGATGAATCTATGCCACCATTAGAAGATGCTAATGATGGTGTGGAATATGTTGTTGATGGAGAACTGCTCGTCACTAGGCGAGCTTTGAATGTGCAAGCCAAAGAAAATGATGAAGTACAACGTGGCAATATATTTCACACGAGGTGCCATGTCAAAAACAAGCTATGTAGTGTGATTATTGATGGTGATAGTTATACTAATGTAGCTAGCACTGTTTTAGTTGAAAAGCTTAATTTACCTATGACAAAGGATCCAAGGCCATATAAGCTGCAATGGTTAAATGATTATGGAGAAATCAAGGTAAACAAGCAAGTTCTGGTTTCATTCTCTATTGAACGATATAAGAATGAGGTATTTTGTGACGTGGTTCCTATGCATGCTGGACATTTACTTTTAGGGAGACCATGGCAATATGATAGGAGAGTGACACATGATGGCTTCAAAAATCGCTATTCATTTGTCATGGAGGGGAAAACAATTACTCTTACACCATTGAGTCCAAGGTAGGTTTATGAGGATCAATTGAGAGTAAAAAAAGAGAGTGAGCTGAGAAATGAGAGCGAGCTTGAGGGTGTGAAAAATAAAGAGAAAATAGCAAAAAAAGAGTCCAAAAAGAGAGAAAAGATTGAGAGTGTTGAAAACAAAGGGAGAAAATCAGTGAGTGTTTATGTAAAAGAAAGTGATGTCCAGGCTGCGATCTTTGCAAAGCAGCCTATGTTTGTGCTTCTGTATAAAGATGCTTATTTTAACACTAACGAACTTAATGATTCTTTGCCTAGTGTTGTTAAATCTCTTTTGCAAGACTTCAAGGACGTGTTTCCAGAGGACATCCCTAATGGTTTACCACCAATAAGAGGAATTTAGCATTAGATTGACTTCATTTCAGGTGCAATAATTCCAAACTGAGCAGCATATTGAAGTAACCCCAATGAGACAAAATAACTTCAAAAGCAGGTTGAAGAACTCATGAAGAAGGGCATGTGAGAGAAAGCATGAGTCCATGTGTAGTTCCAATGCTACTTGTGCCTAAGAAGGATGGGACTTAGCGTATGTGTATTGATTGTCGTGTTGTCAACAAAATCACTATAAAGTATCGTCACCCTATTCCTAGATTAGATGACATGTTAGATGAACTGCATGGTTCTTGCATATTCACTAAAATTGATTTAAAAAGTGGGTATCATCAAATTAGGATAAAGGAAGGTGATGAATGGAAAACAGCCTTTAAAACGAAACATGGTTTATATGAGTGGTTAGTTATGCCATTTGGATTAACTAATGCACCTAGTACATTCATGCGATTAATGAATCATGTTTTGCATGCTCTCATTGGCAAATTTGTGGTTGTTTATTTTGATGATATTCTGATATATAGTAAGAGTTTAATTGATTATATTGAGCATCCGTGAATGGTATTAGAGGTTTTGAGAAAAGAAAAGTTGTTTGTTTGCAGTTAAATACCCTTTTTGATCCGTCTACTATAGGAAAAAGCCTATTTTTAGTCCCTATACCGAAAAAATCCCCCTTTTAGTCCCTAAATTTCAAAATCCGGCCCCTTTTTGGTCATTTCGTCAGTTAAGTGACAAAGTGGCACTATAATCTGTTAAATATTTTGTCTTTTTTCTTTTTCATTGTTGACGTGTTATTACACGCTAATCAATAGAATGCCACATGGAAAAAATTGATGATGTGGACTAAAAATTTTTTTTTCTCCCCAAAAATATTTGAAAAATACAATGCTTATAAAAATAATAATGTGAACAGAAGAAATATTAAATTATTATAATAATTTTAATTTTATTGGATTCATTTAATATATAGTATTTAAATTTTTATTTCCTTTGATTAAATTTAATAATTTTAATTTCATTTTTTTTCAATTCCCTCTTCAGATATCATCTTCTTTTTTTTTCGAAATGCTTGTTTTTATTCATAATCAACCCTTAACATCTGAGAGTCATAAGATATAATTGAAAATTTATAAGAATATTTTCATTGATAAAAATAAAAATTAATTACTAACTAATTTATCAATTCGGTAAACTCTATCTTCCTCTCTGCAAAATAGATCATTCTTTTCACAGTCAAACCCAAAACTTTATGTCTCTAATTCAGAATTGAATATGAAACTTTGGTTTCATTAGATACATTCAAAAAAAAAAAAAAAAAAAAGGGAAGGAACCCAGATCTGAGCTCCTTGGGGGTTCCACGGGGAACACAGATATGGGTTCCTAGAGGAACCCACGAGGAGCCTAGATCTGGGTTCCCCATGGAACCCAGAAACTGGGTTCTCTGGGTTCCACGTGGAACCCAATTTCTGGGTTCCTTGGGGAACCCAGCTGGGTTTCGCGCGGAACCTATAGGAACCCAATTTCTGGGTTCCGCGAGGAACCCAGATCTGGGCTCCTCGTGGATTCCACAGGGAACCCAGCTGGGTTATGTGCGGAACCCAGTTTCTGGGTTCCCCGTGGAACCCAGAGGAACCTAGTTTCTGGAAGTTAGGATGATGAAGACGATGGCAAAGAACGGTGAAGATGATGCCGAGGATGAGGAGGATAAGGTGAGGAGAAAGAAAAGGATGAAAAATGTTACAGTTAATTATTTTTAGGGAGAAGAAAAGAGTAGAAAAGGGAAATGAAAAGACAAAAAAAAATGATGATTTTTAAAAAAAAAAATTATATTACAACCTATTCATTATATGGAAAATTTTTTTGTCCACATCATCAATTTTTTTCCACGTGGCATTCTATTCATTAACGTGTAATAACACGTCAACAATAAAAAGAAAAAAGACAAAATATTTAACAGATTATAGTGCCACTCTGTCACTTAATTGACGGAAGGACCAAAAAAAGGCCGGATTTTGAAATTTAGGGACTAAAAAGGGGATTTTTTCGGTATAGGGACAAAGAAGGGGCTTTTTCCTATAGTAGAGGGACCAAAAAGGGTATTTAATCTTTGTTTGCTAACCTTAAAAAGTGTTCCTTTAGCACAAATTAGATTGTCTTTTTAAGGTATGTTGTTTCAGCTGATGGAATTGCAGTAGACAAAAAAAAAGATTAAGGCTATTAAAGAATGGCCAACACCTAAGAATATTTCTGAGGTGCAGAGTTTTCATGGTTTGGCAAGTTTCTACCAAAGATTCATCAAGGACTTTAGCACAATTGCAGCTTCATTGACTAAAATCGTGAAAAAAAGTGTCAGATTTAAGTGGGAAAGTGAACAGGAGAATACTTTCAATTTGATTAAGGAGAATTTAATTTCTGCACCATTACTTGCTTTACCTGATTTTACTACAACTTTTGAAATTGAATGTTATGCCTTAGGTATTAGCATTGACGCTGTTTTTATGCAAGAGCAACCTATTGCGTTTTTTAGTGAAAAATTGACTGGTGTAGCACTTAACTATCCTACATATGATAAAGAGATGTACGCATTGGCAAGGGCCTTAAAAACTTAGCAGCATTATCTTTGGCCTAAGGAGTTTGTGATGCATACTGATCATGAGTTGTTGAAGCACCTCAAGGGACAAGGTAAGTTGAATAGACAACATGCTAAGTGGGTGGAATTCCTTGAGACATTTCCCTATGTGATCAAGTACAATCAAGGAAAAGAAAACATTATGGCTTATGCATTATCTCACAGGTACACACTTATCTTTACTCTAAGTGCAAAGTTATTGGGATTTGAGCACATTAAAGAATTATATGCTAATGATTCAGATTTTGGTAATGTGTTTAAAGCATGTGAGAAGGCAGTATTTGATAAGTTTTATAGGAATGATGGGTTCTTATTTAGAGAAAGTCGATTATGTGTGCCTAATTGTTCATTAAGAGAATTGTTAATAAGGGAATCACATGTGGGTGGCTTAATGGGACATTTTGGAGTTAAGAAAACTTTAGATATTCTGAATGATCACTTCTTTTGGCCACATATGAAATGCGATGTTGAAAGGATGTGTGAAAGGTGCGTAACATGTAAACAGGCAACATCTAGAGTTTTACCACATGGTTTGTATACTCATTTACCCATACCTACTGAACCTTGGGTTGATATATCTATGGATTTTGTTCTGGGTTTACCAAGGTCGAAAAGAGGCCGCGATTCTATTTTTGTTGTTGTTGACAAGTTCTCGAAGATGGCACACTTTATTTCATGTCATAAAACCGATGATGCAACCAAAATTGTTGATCTATTCTTCAAGGAGGTTGTTCGTTTACATGGTATTCCAAGGACTATTGTTTCTGATCGTGATGTTAAGTTCTTGAATTACTTTTGGAAGACCTTGTGGGGAAAGTTGGGAACTAAGCTATTGTTTTTGACAACTTTTCATCCATAAACTGATGGACAAACAGAAGTGATTAATAGGACGTTGTCAGCCTTATTGCATTCTATTATTCAAAAAAACTTGAAGAATTGAGAGGAATTTTTGTCGCATGTTGAATTTGCTTATAATCGGAGTATCCATTCAGCAACTAACTGTTCACCATTTGAAGTTGTGTATGGTTTTAATTCACTCACCCCTTTGGATTTATTTCCATTACCCATTGATGAATGAGCTAGTTTGGATGGGAAAAAGAAAGTTGAAGTGGTTAAGCAACTACATGAGTGGGTGCGACAAAACATAGAGCGATGAACTGAGCAATATGCAAATCAAACCAACAAAGGGTGCAAGAAAGTTGTGTTTGAACCTGAAGATTGGGTTTGGGTGCATATGCGGAAGGAGTGATTCCTTACAAAAAGGTGTTCTAAGTTACAACCAAGAGGCAATGGACCATTTCAAGTGATTGCAAGGATAAACGACAATGCATACAAGTTGGAGCTTCCTGGTGAGTATAATGTTAGTGCTACTTTTAATGTTTTTGATCTTTCTCCTTTTGATGTAGGTGATGATTTGGGGACAAATCCTTTTGAGGAGAGAGGGAATGATGGGAATCAAGATGACCCCACATGTACCACGTCAAGAGATCCATTATACATTCCAAGAGGTCCAACAACAAGAGTAAGAGCTAGGAAGATGTGAGTAGCTTTAAATCAATGTTTTTAAAGTCGAACCGGAGGTCAAACCATTTTGGCCTCCGATTTACGATTTGACCGGTTCTATCGATTTAATTGGTAAAACCACCGGGTTGATCAAATTATTATAGATATATTATTCTGCAAAATATATCACAAGGTGTTAGTTGGGTGCAATGGTAGGTGACTGATTTGATAGGGGAAAGATCGCAAGTTCGAGCTTGTTTGAGAACAAAATTTAATATAATTGTGGTTTTAAAGATAGAATAAATGTATTGTAAAGCAAAAAATAACAAATAAAAGGTTGTGTCTCAAGTGGTTGAGTATTTGTTTCATATCATGGCAAATGGGTGTTCGAATCCTATGGTTGTCATCAATAATTTAGTTAAAAGCTTTGAGAATGCTATTAAATAAATAAAATTTCAAGCACTCAATGACATAAATATGGCATCGTCTTAGTGGTAAAGACTTGGAATTAAGGCTTTGGGGTTGTGAGTTCAAGTCCAGCGAGAGACAAAATTTTGAAGATTTTATGCCCAACCATTGAACTATCCAGTCGAATGGTTTATCGATTTGAATGGTTTCAACGGTTCTTACCAGTTTCAAACGGTTTACAGTTCAAACAATTTAAAAAATATAACCAAACCATTTGTACCACCGGGTACTGGTTCGATCGGTCGATTCGGTTCGATTTTCAAATCATTGCTTTAAATGGCTTTATTAAGCAGATCTGGGTTGATAACAATATGCAACAAGTAAATTGAAGCTTGGATGATTATCAAGGCATGGTAAACATCATTCAGATTCAAGAGAAGTTTAATTGAGATCATTTATGCTAAATTACAGTGTTAAAATCTTGCAATTTTGTTACAATTTATAACAAACTAATATTTCATGTTACTTTAGGTTACTTTCAGTGATTTTCACGTTTTTTGTATTATTTTGGGTTGAACATTCATCTATTTGAGGCCCAATCCATGGTTATTAGAATTAGGGTTTAAGGTGTTAGTTTCTTATTTTGATTAGAATTATTTTTCCCTATTTAAAGGGCTTGTAACCCTAATTGGGGGGAAGCTATTGAATCTGAGTTTTTGAGAGACTTATTTTTTTGGTTCGTTGCAGAACTTTATAGAACTTATTAAGATTATTCTTATGGTGTTCTAACCTGACTTATCATTCTCGTTCTTAATCGTTCGAGAGTGTGGTGTCAACTGACTTTATACCTCTGATTCTTTGTTGTGTCATAGACAATGGGTCAAGGTTTTTACTTTTGGTTCTTGTTGCGACATAAACAATGAGTCAAAGTCCTATTAAAAACTTGATTTGGCTTTCTTGGAGTTTAGAAATCCCTTGTCATGCTGTAGGTCTCATTGTTCTTTTTGGGGTTCTCATCACATCATTGATTTCATCACTAATAATAAGATGCATTTTTCTAAAATATTTCTCCATCCATACATGGTGCTTTTCCTCCTTTTAAAATTCTTGTGACTTAATAAACAAATTTTTTTACCTCATTACCCAATCCATCTATTTCTTGTAAATCAAGTTTAAAATCTCTTATTAAAAAAAATATTACTATTTTTTGAGCAGCTTTAGAGGGTTTTGGGATTTATGATGTTGATATGGATTCTTCTAAGCACTAATATGTATGGGTAGTCTTTCAAATGCTGTCATTAGTTTAAAATAAAAAATAAATAAATAAGTCACAAGAAATTGAAATTGAAGCAACCACCATTCAAGAAGCCATTAATAATGTCGTTGAAGCATTATTTGAAGGAAATTCATGTCCTCCACTTTTAGAGACAAAAGTTTGGAATATATTGGAAGATTAGGGACTAGAGTTAAATCAAGTTACCATTGCTTATTTATATTTATTTGAGCATCCAAACAAATTAAGAACAACACTTGGATGTCCACCTAGGAAACGCATGGCTAGTGTTATAAGAATTGTTTTTGGCACTTCTTGAACTAGATGCTCTTGAAGACAATAATCACTTTTATTTTCTGATTATATTATTCTATTTTGATTCTCTTAAAATTTATATTTGAATAATCTTTTGTAGTTTGGTTGTTATTAGGTATTTTACAATTGATTATTCTCATCAATTAGACTACATTAAAGTAAAATTATTTGCTTTTCATTTTCCAATTTATTATTTATTATTTGCTTTGTGAAATTCTTCTAGTTTTTTATTTTAATTTTATTTGCGTTTTTTATTTTTAGTTGTTTTAATTCTCTTTTACTAGAGAAGGGCCTATAGAATAATCAGTTAAACCATTGGCAAGAATGTGTTTTCTCACATATATTGTCAAAGTTTGAACTCTCATTCCCCTTCACTGCCCCTTTTCCCATGAGGGTTTTAACTTGTTAGCCTGTCCCATCAAAAAATGAAAATTTCTCTTCCACTAAAAGCCTATCTTTATCCATTATTTATTTTATAAATTATTCAAGGGTAAATTTGTAACTTTAAAATTATTCAAACCCTTCCCTTCATTTTACATTTCTTTACCAAACACAAAATAACACACTTTTTTCCTTTCCTTCCCCTTACTCATTCTTTGTTTTTTTTTTTTTTTTTACTTTTTAAAGGAATTGTACCCATTTTTAT